TCATGAACTGCTGAGGATGAAAGAATGGATGAGTATGTGGGTGAATGCTCATGAGCCAGCAGCACCCATGGGGAGATATGATGTTTTATTCTGAACCTTCAAGGTTTCACACTGGCCAAAACCAAAGCCCCAGTTGCAAAAAACAAAGCCCCAGTTACCGCGAATAGAGTTTTCCTGTTGGGCTGGCCTTTCAGCAAAAGATCACATTCCTTCCAAAAGCATCTCTAGATATTCTTGAAGAGGCGTCCTGTGCGCCCCAAACGTGTTGATAGGCGTCCACAATGTCAATGTTGGTGTGTGGAAGGTAAAGTCTGCCTGGGACAAGTTCCCTCCATGCTAGGTTATTCGTCTGACAAAACTGCTTCTTGATGATCGTGAGGAATCCTCCTGACGGTCGGTTGGAGGGACAGTGGATGTACCAAACAGCATCGTCCTGCCAGTCGCCGGTGAAGTTCCATCTAGCGTTATGGAAGCAAATTAAACCAACGCGCTGCTTGGATAGCCAGCTCCTGAGTATATCCAGTTTGTGGATGCCCAAGGAATCAATGTTCCATGTGAGGCCAATAAGTCTGTTTCGTCTGATTTTGGAAGGAGGAGGTCGGTTCGTAGAGTGGTGGTCCTGCTTCGTGGCTTCGAGTTGGGTAGGAAGCTGATCAATTGATACCCCAAGCTGTGCAGCAGTACGAAGCTTGCCCTTGTACCGTGTATGATCAATTGCTCTTTTGACGGCTCGTTGAAACGCACGTTTCCTGACTGGTGGCGCGCGTGCTGGTTGTAGGCCTGGCGGCCTGGTGCAGGACGCATAGTGTCAGGTCCTTGGCCACTGTGAGGTTTGTCCCACGTGGTGAGCCCACAAGCGCATGTGGCTGGACTGGAACCCTCGGGCCACCATTCTGCTGCGTTGGCGCAAAGAAATCTCATGGAGAGCGCCGCAATGGCAATGAAGGAAGAGCGCCAGCAGGTGAGTGCTTTGGGAGCGTGTTCTTGGGCTCCACAATGGATTTCTTTGTGGAGGTAGATCACGGTGTTCAGTGTTGCGCTCTTCCAAGTACCCCAGCGCAAGACCACATTCAGGGAGTACAGGAACAGGAGCGCTGAGGCTCCAGTTCAGAAGGAGAACGATCGCCTGCAGCTCACCCAAGAAGGAGATCTGCGTCGAGGAAGATCACCGCGCCACCAGGGGATGCTCGCTTGAGCGCTCGCGGCCCTTATCATCATCATCATCATCATCACCAGATTCATCATCATCGTCATCATCATCACCACCATCATCATCATCCTCATTTTGATCTGTTAAGATCACAGTGTGTCTATAGAATCTAAGATAGATTTCTTTCAGCCTTCATCATTTCCAAACATCTGTTAGACTTATCTCACTCCCACTGTGGGGTTCGGGCCGCACTGTCGTCTCGTTGTTTTGGGAGTTGGTCTTTTGGTTCGTGTCCACAAGACAAGACCAATAGACAACAGGTGCGGCAGAACAGAACAGTAGGACAAAAGCGCGTGATTTGACCAAGGCCATCAAACACTTAAGGCTTCAAAACACGATAAGTACAAATGCAACTCATTGAAATTATATATCAAACATATTGCGTGCCATAGTTGCAAGTATATACATACATTTTTTTTGGTATGTCTATATCTATATATATGCATCAATTATTTCTATGTATGTGGTAAACGCACGATTATAGACGGTTATTGTTTCGCGGGGCTACACGCAAGGGCTCGAGATTGCTAGCGCTAGCGATTTCAACAGCTCGCGCGCCCCAGTGGCCTGTATGACGCGCCTTTTGCCACGCTGGTTCTGCACTTTCCTAAACAAATGCACGCGCAGCGCCATGAGAGGTCAGGAGAGAACAAGCAATGAAACCACCTTCCGAATGACCCCGCAATGCTTCGGAGACTACCTGAGGCACACGCAGGGCAAAGAGACAAGCAGTTGCAGTGAAAGTACCTTTCGAATGACCTTACAACGCTTCGGAGACTACCTGAAGTACATGCAGGGCAAAGAGAGAAGACGTTGCAGGGAGAGTGTCTTGAATGGTTATGGTTGCTTTCGAATGACTCTACGAAGCTTCGGAGACTATACCTGAAGTGCACGCAGGGCAAAGAAGCAAGCAGTTGCAGTGAAAGTACCTGGAATGGTGGCTTTCGAAGGTCCCTACCGAGCTCCGGAGACTACCTGAAGTACATGCAGGGCAAAGAGAGAAGACGTTGCAGTGAGTGCGTCTTGAGTGGTGGCTTTCCAATGACCCTACAATGCTTCGGAGGCTACCTGAAGTACACGCGAGGAGAGCTGCGCAAATGCGGACGTGCCAATGTGATGGCCTGCGCGCGCGCCCGCAGGAATACTGTGGCGCGTTCGTGAATTGAAATCCCACGCCTGTTTTCCAATCCTGACTGCGGCGGGTCAGCTGAGCAGGGTTCTTTAATATAGAAGCTATTATCATTGAAGGATGCCTACGGCAAAGTCTACGGTTCGCCTACGTTTCCACAGTGTGAGCCTACGACGCACTTACACCTTACCTTTTCCCACAGAGAAACCTACGAACGGGAGGTTTCGTTTCAATGTTGTGTGTTTCGTCTACGCTACCATTGGGGAATTGGTTTTGAACTTTTGGGATTTGGGCAAGCAGACAAGCGGACAGCGTGATAGCAAACTTTTCAACATTCGGATGAGGAGGGGCGTGAAAATGAATTTGAACTACCGCTGCTGCTGCTGCAACGACCTTGTGCAGTCTGCCTTAGGCGTGCAGATTGGCGGCGTTTCTTGGCAGCAGCAGTTTGAAGACGAAGGGCCGCTGCAGACAAGGACTCAACCAACCTCTGAGCGGAAAGGTTTATGTAGTACATGGCTACAAGTTGTGGATGGCAAGAACCCCCTCAAATCTACTTGAGAAGTGCAAATTATTGAGAACAAATGGGCAAGTGGTCACAAGAAGCATTTTCACCTGCGGGACTCTTACGGAGAACCTACGCTGTGCCTACGGTACGGGCACGACATGAAAAAGTAGAAAAACAGCCTCTAAACACCTCTAGACTATCTATGGTGGTTGACACAAGTCCGCGTGCCACATGAAGGTGGAAGGCTTGGTTTGGCCATTGGTCTACAGAAATCTCAGGAGTTTGAGGTCACTAGTCTCTGAAAGTGGGTTGAAAAAGAGAAGTAGTTGCCAAGAGCAACAGGAAATCCAAGCAGACAATTCATATCTGCAGAGTGTCTTCATGAAATTTCTGATTGAAAATGCTGCCTACGCAAACTGCCTACGACAAATCATTGTGCCAAAATGCCTACGGGGCATCTACGCCCCCCAAGCAGAATGCCTACGCCAACCTTTAATCAGCCACCAATGATGTCAATGCCTATATAAACCGTTTCATCTCAAAAAAAAATCAGCTCAGCTGAGAAGCTGTTCCCGACTTTCTTGGTGCGAGCGCTTACTTGGCAAGTGGACCGTGCTCAGCTCGTAGGTGTGCAAACCCACCTTTTGCTTGCTGTTGGCCTTTACTCGACTTTTCCTAGGATGTAGGCCTGTGCAGTCTCGCATCCATTTTTGGTTTGGTCGCTTGGAAACAGGGGCTCGAAAGTTCAGCTGATGCTTCAGCTGGGCGAAGGCCTGCTTTCCACAATGGCTTGTGTTAATTGCAAGAAGAAGAAGGGTTATACGCAAAATTACATATTTGTATTTTTGGGGACTGCAATCGCGAAACATTATTTTTGTAGTCATTTCTGATCCCTTCATCTCCCTTGTCCCTGTGCCTCCGTCATCAGCACCAGGAAAGGCCGTGGTGATGCAGCTCTAAAAGCATCGGAGGCTACGCTAGCTTCTGACTGCCGCACTGAACGAGCCATGACTCGCACTGCCTCCGTGTAGACCAGAAGAGCTCGCCTGATCTCCGCGTCTAGGACAACAGTGATAGTCCACCAGTTGACCACCAGCACACAAGCAAATACATGTGCAAGCATCAGCAATGTTTTGGGTGCGGGAATGAAGGAGGTTTGGCTAAAAGAGGAGGGGGGCTCACCTGTGCCCGTGTTACTCAGTGCCGCTGTGCCTCCACAAACCAAAATCATGCTTGGAGGGAGCTAGCTTGAAGAAACCTACGGTATTTTCATGCATTTTGCAAACTTGCGCTATTTTGCAAACTGGCGCCTGCTCTCTGAAATTGGTGAGCTTCACCCAAAACTGCACGCTTGAAACCGGAGCTTGTTTTACCTATCTTTGGCCCGCCTCGCAGCTTCGTTGGCTATTGCATCATCATCTGAGAGTAATGTTGCCCAGGCCTCCTGCTGAGACTGCGCAAGCCTTGACAGCGCTGTCACCAACCCACTGTAGATCGAAGAGATGCCGGCATTCCATTATTAGCAAAACAACTGGCTTTGCACACTGCCTAACATCCAGCGCTCGCGCAGCAGCAGCTGCCATAGACCCCGCCATATCTTGCAGAATGTCCATCCGCAAACGCGGTTGAAGAACCGCCTGCGCAGTATTTCAGCGAGATACAAATCAGACCGCACGGAATGGGGACGCACGATCAAAATCGATCAAACTTTTGCCTCTCACCACGAAATCAAGTCGCGCAACTCCTTATGAACATCACAAAGCAAAACAAAAGTAGTGAGTGTAAGTCCAGAAAGCCGTGCCCTTTTCTGTTCGCAGATTTTCTGCCACGCTCCAACTTACTGGCTCCGCTCCCCTCCAGAGTGTGTGGCAAGTTTCTGTAAGGTGAGTGAGTGGTCGTGGATTTGTTCAACGTGGATACTGTATGTCTGCAACGATGGAACTCTTGCTCGGAAGCTACATGTTACATTGTACATTCGTTAAGGGCGATTTGGCCGGCTACATTTCTGTTGTTTGGCGAAACGGAAGCCAGCGTTTGTCGCGTTTGTGAACACCAAAGTGCACCCGCGTCTGGGATCACAGTCTTGCATAGATGCCTTCGCTCCTTCCCGTTGCCAAAACGATCACCCAGGGCAACATGTCCTATTTCTCGCCTTACCATTTATTGTTGCGCAGCACGTGCCAACCCCCACTGCAGCGCATCAGCTCACTTACTGTACAACACCCACTGTTTGATATGCAATCGCGCCCGAGCGACAGTTTGTTTAGGTACGAAACTCTGTATCAGATGTATATATGCGCAAAGAAGGACCAACTGAGACTCACAATGATCTCATCAATTGAATATGATCTTAAATGATCTTTATATCTTGAACAAATGACGATGAATTCAACGAAACGTGTCACCTGCCTCAAACTCACCGCGTGCGCCGCCGGCTGCCAGAGCAGATACCCACTGGCTTTCACGGTTCCATTCTGCCTCTGGCATCAGTTGATCCTTTTGGTTGGATTGGAAATATATGGAAATATTCCAATTTCAAACTTGAAAGCAGGAGGCCTGATGCGGCACTGCACAAGCGGGGCACAAGGGCGCATGTTCATGGAAGGAATTGCATCGTAGGGCCCAAGGCCTGTCACCACAAGAGCAACACTTGACCGTGGGAAGATGCAGCGGACACGCGTTGGAAAGGGATCGAGCATCCTCGAATCCAGCTTGGTGAATTGTAATTTTCATTCTGCAGCTCTGAATGAATGTTGTTGCATTAGCCCTTGACCTCGGTGATGACATAGAACAAACGTCTAACGAGACCTTAGCCTCATGGAGGAAACGATTGCCCTGAACTCCTTGCAGTCCACAAAGGCATCTTTCTCCGTTTTCTTCATTCCTCTTTCCCTCCAGTTTCCTACGTTTATTTTCTCTTACTTGCAAGGCCTCGCCCGAAAATGTGATTAGGCACCACAGGCAGAACAGGCCATTGGGCCACACACACACAGTCATACATGTTTCCCTTCTTCCACAAACGTCTGGGTTTGATTCCCCTGAAATTTGTCTGTTACCCAAAGGGAAGTAGGCTTGTTTGGTTATCGTTGTATTTTTTCCCCTCCTTCTTTCTCCTGCCATCACCTTCGTCATTTGTTCCAACTTCCAAAGTTCCATGGGCCGGGCTGTCGCGTCGTATCTTGGGGCCCTGAGGTCTATGGCCTTGTGCGCCAATGGCACGGAACAGCACAAAGTCATGTCTCACAAAGACCGCGCCAAACAACATGGCACGGCGACATCGCTCTGTCTCAAATGACACTTCGCCACATACTAGATGCAGTCAATACAACTTTGCAACCCAGCAGCAGGCAGCAATTCAAAAAACTGGAACTTTTCAGTACAAACATCCCATGCTTTGCCCACTCTCTCGCATCTTCTGCTCAACTACCCGGCTAAACTTTGAGTGGCTTGTTGTTGCAAAGGATGCAAAGCCATCTTCACGAAGCAAGCCCCACTGCAACAAAACCTTGAGTAAGTGTGTAACCCCCCCAAAAATTCTCAAATACCTCACTCATATCCCTCAAGAGCTACTTCCTCAAACTTCTCAACTACCAGCCACCAAGCAAGTCAACTGAAGGACGATCCATGGTCCATTGTTCTTTCCAGCGTGTGTTACAGGTTATTGGACTTATTCCAAGTTACAACTACGCAAACCTGCCCACGCGAGACACCACTACTGTCTGCTTTCCTACGCGGTTCCCTACGCAAGCTTCCGCCCCCAAGCAGAACAGCCTACGCAACATCAAGAGCAGTTCCACTTTTGTATAAACTCTTTCATAGACTAGAAAACCGCCACTCATTTGCTAAATGACAGCATCCGTGCTCCCTGCGCAAAAGCATGACAGAAAACGCACAGCAAACAACAAACGCAACGCAAACCTGCTTGCGCATAGAAAACGGAGACACGCGTGCGCAACAAGTGGGCGACATAAAGGCGCTTTACTGAACACGCGCCAGTCCATGTTTTGCACTGCGCGCAAAGAACGCTCTGCGCAGCAAACGTGACGAACTATACTACCGCTTAACGCCAGGGGCGCGCAGTTCATCGTGTTCCTCCCAGGCCATTGAAGCCGCCAGCGATCTGCGCAGTCAGTTTACCCAAACAAGTTGCTCTATCGCGCAGACCTGTCAGAGTCAAGGCTTGAGGGGCTTGAGGGTTTCCTATCTTCCGGAAGGGTATGAATGGCACCCTGCCACGATGAAACTGATGAAAAACTCCAAGGCCAATCACAACGCCTGACCCAGGCGCACAATTTCTTGGGCCCAATGACAGGCACCTAACCAGACGAAGAATTCTAAGGCGGGAGTCCCACACCGTACAGTCGGTGGAAGCACAGAAACTAACAGCACCCAGCTTCCAACGAAGTGTGCACAGCTGACCGAATTCTGCGGTTCGGTGGGCGTCCGGTGGGAGTTCCGGACGCCAGAAAGTGAACACCGGTGGAAGCGGGAAGGCAAAAGGATGCAAAAGGGCCAGGTGGACAGTGTAGAGCCGATGTGCTTCGGACCCCATCTCTGCAAACAACAACATTGGGGAAGTCGTCTTTGCCAAACTGAACGCTGTCATCTTACGCTGTGCTAGCTCGCAGCCAGGGATTGAGGCAAGAGAGGAGGACAAGAAGGAGACGAGTAGAATTCATGGTCCAAAATCCTTTTGCAACACACGCGCACACACACATGTACTCCTGCCACTTCATATCTGAGCGCTGCCTTGCAGAATCCCCGTAGTCTGGTAGGGGACCACTTCTAAACAAAGATCGCTCGGTCATTCTTTTTGTGTGGGGTTTTTGAACGCGACCCACTCACACCTCACTTGACATTCCAATCTTCGCGCTGTGAATGGATTAAGATTGATTAAGTTAAGTTTAAAGTCACACCTATTGTTTTGGTAAAACGGGTATGTCCACGTAGAGGTTTTTGGGTTGGCCTCTGGCCATCTCACTAGCATAATATGGAATGAGCAGGTACACTCAAGAAGGCGTCCAGGGACAACTCACAACTTCCTGGACCCCCAGCCTGAAATAACTGAGGAAAACAACTCAAGCAGTCGTACCACACACAATGTGACACAAAGCACTGCCATCAATCCGCTTCATTTTGGGAGTTTCCCATTCAGCCCAGCCTTTGAGTTGTGAGCCTTTGCAGCTTGTCCAGCAGCGGCCAAATTGGCCAACCACCTCGGACAATCTTGGAAGCTCCATCTACACATGCCTGTGAAATCCTGTGAACCAAACACTTTGGAGCTTCTGGTCAGGTCCAATGTTGGTCAATTGTCACACAGCCAACTGCAACAATGCGTGCAGTAGGTGACACCGCACACAGTGTCTCATGACCCCCAAAGATACAGGCTGGAATGTCTCAGCTACACTCTGCAGGCGCTGTTTTGTATCTAAGCGCCTGCGTAGACTCGTAGCAAGGCAAGCGGATCCTTGAGCGCCACTTCAGCGGCAATGTGCCAGGCCTCCTCTGCGGCTTCGACGCTTCGCAGCAATCTGCCTTGGTGCAAAGGTTTGTTGCTGCTTCGCGGCAAATCATCCTTCATCGTTTCTTCCAGGGGAGTTAGCTACTGATAAAGCCAGCAAGCTTGGCTCCTAGCCCAAAATATCTGTTTTTTTTTCAGGGAATTTTGGACGGGAATAGGACCAGGATGTAGCCTATGATGCGGGAGACTTGCCACTTAATGATCTTAATGCTCAAGCTGGGTTGTCAATAGTTCCAGGATCATTGGCCATGAAATGCATCTTGCGCACTCCGATAGGACTATATCGTGCAGAAATCGGCTTAACATTTTCCAGACGGCTTAGCTGAGCTGGAAGTAGTGAAAAACAGCTCTGGCAACTTGCGCATGAAAACATCTCATTTCATTGTGCCTGTGTCGAGCACGTGTCTAAGATTTGTGAGATGTGTTGGAACCACATTATGAGTGTCACATGAACATCATGAACCCTCTACCTCATGCTTCCCCACGCTCTCCAAGTTTCGCGCGCTCAACTGAAGTGAAGTCACCGAAGTACTGATTCATGCCACTTGCTGTTGCTGACCCGGTCCCAGCCAAGTCAGAGGCCAAGACCACTGCCCGACCCAAATGTGCAAAAGCAACTGCCAAATTGCAGTCATCCTGTCACCAGTCTTTCTGCCACCAAACGCGCATGGCTCTTGCACAGGCAATTGTCACACAATAGAAAGCTTTGATTTCTTCGATCATCTTCGAACCAATCTCTGATCTCCAGAAGACTTCAGTATGCACTGGGTGAGTCCTCCAATGTCTCCCATTCCTGAGGCAAGTTGATGAGCTGTACGCTGCAGATTAGCTGAAGTGACAAGTTGTGGGTCACAAGTCACAAGTCTTCAAGTTTGCAAACCAGGATGACTATTGTCTCACAAACATAATACATAATTTAAACAAACATTACTACAGAAATTCATGATCTGAGCATCTTTGGATGGTTTGGCAGCTTTGGCAGTGGCGTTTTCCGCGTCTGTCAAGATGCGGGCAAGGATCGTCATGATCCCACTGCTCTGATCCTCAGACTCGCCAAACAAACTGCAACACATTATCTTTTACATTTGTTTACAATATCTTGATGATACTGGAAGCTTTGCGCAGGAGAGCGTCAACGCTTTTCTCTTGCTCATCATGAAGAATTCGGACAGCTGACAGAACATCCCCCGTTTGCACCTCAATTTCAAGTTTGCTTCTGGCTCTATCTGACTGCTCCACACAAGCATTCACACAACGGGTGCTTGGTGTTTGTGTCTAAATCCAGCGGCAACGCTTGGTTTCATGTTCAAACACTTGAACTTGACTGGGAAGGCAGTTCAAGACTGGAGAGTCTGTGAGGGTTAGAGCCGGATTCCGAAACTAATCGGTTGGATTCTGAAACTAGGATTCTGAAGAAACTGGGATTTTGAAACTTGTGCTCTGAAACTGGAAAGTCAGATTCTGCAACTGGTATTCTGATGCTTGTATGCTTGGGGCGTGAGGTTGCTGGTCGAACTACTGAATTGAAAGCACGCTGCGGCACTCAATTGCGAAGTTCGACGGGTTGTAAAGCCCCAGTTGCGGAAGGCCAGGCACGTGGCTAAATCGCTTTGCTGTGGCAACTTATAGATGTGGTCTGGTTTGCAATGCAAATGTTTGGAACTGTCCCCCAACCCATCAATCCACCCACCCATCCATCCATTCATCCATCCATCCATCCACCCGCCCATCCACCCATCCACCCCTGCTTTTGCTTTTGCTTGGATGCTTGGTGTGGCCTGTGGTTGCTGCTCGAACTGTTGCGGAATCTCAGTTGTGGAGTCCACAAAATTGCGGAATCCAGTTGCGGAATCCTAGTTGCGGACTCCCAGTTGTGGAATGCCAGTTGCGGAATCCTGCGCACTGTGAGTGCATTGTGTCACCAAGTCTCAATTGTTGTAACATGATGCGCTGTGTGAGACCTTTCTGTGGCTGAATCCTGAAATCTTTAAGAGGGTATATATATATATATAATATAACTTCTGGTAACTCAAGCTGCGAACCTTGGCTGCTTCATTAAAAACCTCAACGCGACTGTGCAAAAATGCAGCCTGGTGTGTATTGTTTCGATGCCGTTTTGTGGTATCACGAAGGTTCGTTGTCCCTGACTCTTTGGTGATAGGCTTTGACTTCCGTCATTGAACATGTGTGCGAAGGTTCGTTTGAACCTCTTCCAACAAAGCCCTGCAGCTTGACAATTCACTTGGAACAAACTTGCCCACAAGCCCAGTGCACGAACGATTCCAGGATTGGACGTACAATCCCCTTTCCATTTCTCCGAACACTTACCGTTTGAAAGAAAAGCAAACTCCAGCCAAATATCTAGCTAGCGAACAGCCGGCTTTAACAAACATGTCAAGCAAACACTGCTCAACCCAGTAAGAAGCGCACCGCTCCTCCACAAATGCCCTTGCTAGGCAGGTGCGGAAAGTCGGGCTTTGCCCTGGCCTCATGCAAACTTCATATGCAAATTAAGATATGCTTTAAACACATGAGTGATTGCCAAAACCGATCATCAATTTTGGTAAACTCCATATGTTGGTATCGTTTTTGGGGGTTCGCTATATCGCTTTACAGTGTCGGATGCCTTTGTCATATTTATTGAGGATTTCTCTTGAAAACATAGCCAAAGTGAAGTGCACAAACATACATAAACAAAAAAGAAAGAACACAAGAAAGAAATAGAGGTGGTTTTCCATTGACACCATAGCACTTCCTTCCCCCTTCATTGCGGTTCTTGTTCTAGAGCTCATCATCTGTGTCAGACTCCACAGGCACTGTGAACATGATACGAACATGATACGAAAAGGGATCCGCTCATCTAGATCACATTTTGATCATCCAGGGGTATCGCTTTGGGGGTTCACTGCATCGCTTTACAGGTTTTTGGATGATTTCAATGAAATAGTTCCTCTCACATAAAGATTTGTGCACAGACCAATTTAGGTCGTTGCTTGCATTCATGCTGGCACAGCCTCGATTTTTGATGCACTTGTTTGAAATGCTTGGAGCCGAGCCGCTGTTTACAACTGTTTACAACTCAGCCAGGTTGCAGCATCCACAAGGCCACTATAAATCCGAAACAACGGCCAACCGGAGAGGATGGTGAGCAAGAAAGGAATCCGTGTTGTGTACTGCCTCAGCCACCGCTGTTCCGGGTCTAGGAGGTGAGTGAAACACTTCGACCTTCGATGCTGCAATGCAGCTGCATGATGGAAATGCCCCGATTGCGCATTTGGAATATGACCGGCCGATGGATTCGTTCTGACACGAACTTTATACCTGGTCCAAAACGAGCACAGTCTGTTCCTATTTCAAAATTCTGCAGAATGTGACTCACCGTTTGTTCATTCAACCAAAGTGTAGACTCAAAAGGCTCAAGGATGATGGACCATCAGAAAGCCAGAAACACCACTTGATTATATAACGTATGTGGGGACTCGGTGCCCATTCAACTAACATGCTTCACAATTAGCAATAACAAGCTCCATCAACAGAAACAGTTTTTGCAGGCCATTGAAGTTTTGCTCGCCCTGTGGATTTGTCAAGGTACATATAATGAGCCTCAAATACTTCTGCAAGAGCTGCCACATCAAACTCGTTCAAGCGCCGATCAACATCCTTGAATGAACAGCACTTGCTACTACGTTCAACTGCACTCTCTAATCGAAATATGCTTTCTATCCGTGGTGGATGCTGTTGCAATATGTGTATATATATATATACAAATACACAATACATAATCCACACAACATGTTCTACATGATATCCTGCAACATGACGCAAGTTCTCTCCCCCTCTCTCTCTCTCAATGCAGCCTGGATCCGCCAGGTGGACAGTTTGTAGCCCCAGCGGACAAAAATCCACATCCTTGAGCTTCAGTGAAGGATTTGATTCAAAAGGTAATTGACATCCTTTATTCTTAATCATATTTAATCTGCAACCAGTCTATTTGTTGGGATGTCGAGCCTGAAGCCACGTTTTTGCTTTCCAAGATTGATGCTCACCCCCCAGAACCAAATTCGTGGTCACTGGATTTCCAACACCTTTGCTGTGTTTATGTCTATGTGCATGATTGTGCATTCTCCTTTCATCCCTTTGCATTTTGGTCTCGACTTTGCCACAGTGAGGATTCAAACAGACTTCCCTAGTGCTGTGTGCACCTGCTGAATTGTTCTCTGATTGCACAAAGGAAGGAAGGTTGCCTCCACCTAGTAGCTTCTTGTTCTTAGTATTCTTAGTATTCCTGGCCCGTGTGATTTGTGAACTTCTGTGTCCCGACAGAATGACCAATTGCGCCAAGCCACATTCGACACATAGACTCGAGACACCCAAATCCTGACACAGCTTTGCCAAAACAAAGTTTCACTCAATATCCGCCGTAAGAAAATTTGGGCTTCATCTGTGCTCAACCAGTTAACAGTTTCTGAACATGTTGCTGCTAGGGTCATGCCACCTCCACTCAAACTTGGCATCTTCAGAGATAAAAATCCGCCGCTGCCAGGACGGCTGATCAGCATAGTACTGGAGTTCAGCCTGGTTGGACATGACAAGATTGCATGCCAATGATGAGACTGACATAGAGTCAACGTCACAGTACTTTTGTGTACCTCAAGCTGCGCCTGACGTCAACAACACGCCCCGTTATGCAACAGCTGCCTTGCTCTCAAAGCACCCAAGTCCCAGCCTTCAGCAAAGGCCAGTCAACCTGACAACGGCCAAAATGACTACATATATAACTATAATGTGACAATGTGGTACAAGCAAGGGCTGCTGTAACGTACCTTGACAAGGGCCTGTTCATCATCTTACACATCTTCCAGATTGAGTAGTGACCAAGATAGGCAGGATATGGCAGGATATCATTCCATGCGTGTGCTAGTTACGATAACTATGTAGGCAGGTGTGTAGCTTGACCTTGGATAGAACTGCGTGATGCGGCTGTTTGTATTTTGCTGGGTTTTGTGAGACGAGAAGCAATCGTGTGAAATTAATTGAAATGACCACATGACTTCACCCGGCCACAAATGAAGCCACACAAAGAACAATTCAACGACCTCTCGCTTGGTTGGGCAGGAGTGCTCCGGGTTGTGGAAGGGCATCTTCTCCTCAAAACAGACCAAAACGATATATCTTCATGAAGATTCCAACGTTCTTCAGAATTATGCTTCCAACGTTCCGTTCCTACAGGTGATATGCTTCCACCATGCAGGACTTACAGCATTCTGCATTCTGACGCGTTGCCCTGAAAGCAAGATCTGGGAGCAAGTATGCATCGTGTAGCCAAATCATCATATCATGTCCAACAAAAAAGCTTGACCAGGTGGCTTGTGGATGCTTGTTGGCTTGATGCGTCGATTGAAAGCGAAACAACATGACAAACACCCTCCTCAATGACATACGCATTGGACTTTGAACTCCACGACGCGCTGGCTTCAGCGCCTTCACTCACACCCGCACGAGTCGCTGCTTTTGTTTCGTCAAACAATTCGCTCGCTCTCATGGCAAACACTTCAAGCCACACATGGAAAACCAACTCAAACTCATTCAAACACGATTAACTGTCAGTGCCTTGGCAGAGTGACCAGAACGTGGTGCACACAGCACCCATAGTTCTGAAGTCTTGGATTCTATTGAAAGTGAACCAATGCCTTCATGGATCCTATATGATCCAATCGGTCCTATCGTTTATTGTTTTCATTTTGTGCCATCATGCCATCCGAGGAATCTATCGGATATTTTATGATATTTTCGGATGCATGACTTATCGGTCCAATATGGATGAAATCTCTGGCACTGTTTCTTACCGACCTCCCTAACCCTGAATTGCAAAATGTATCGAGGAGTCTTGAGGGAGTTTCTCATCCTGACCCCTACCTACGAACTATGACTGAAGATCCGGAGCCAAAATGCCGCAGCCAGCCCTAGCCTTGTGATACTGTCGCACTTCAGAAACTACTGTTGGCACACTTGTCTGCTTCAGAATCATAGCTGGACAGGAACTCTACTGAGAACATACAGTAATTACTAAACAAGAAACACTTGCAGAGGTTTGCTCAAGCATTGACATAAATGGCTAGTGGCTAGCGTGTGCAGTCCAAACAGGGCAGCGTGGCACTTCTACCGCTTCTCACGGATGAGAACGGAGTGTACACATTGCCTCGCTCATGTGAAACTTGCTTGCCGCAAGCTGCTTGCCCTCAAACACAGTGCTCAATGAGACCTTGCCTGATAGCTCCCTCTGTGGCGTCTGCGCCACACTTTGAGCGCCATTCTCTTGCCTCCGTGAGCGCGTGAGATTCACTTGACATGACTCGACCATAGAAAACTCAGGGAGCGTGAGCACCAGTGAGCACCTGCAATATCCTGTAATATTGTGACATTCCGAAAGCCAATGCACGTGCTCACTTCTTTGGTGAACCAGTGCAGCGAGGCTTCTGAGTGGACAAGTTGACGTTCAAGTTGTGCAGCTGCACCCCATGTTGCACACAGCTTCCACAGCCGGGACACATGTCAATGTGAAACATGCAAAATGCGCACAGAAAATAGAATCCGGATGGAATCCATTTTCGTCCTCATGAACAGTAGTTCTTGGTTTTAATCGTTGTTTCAAGTTGTTTCACTGGACTCAAAGGCTAATCAATCTATATATATTTGGAGCACCAGCCTTTGTATGCTTAGTACGCTGTTTTGATGCACCAGAAGCTGGCAGAATGCATCCAAAATGCCATCGTTCTGATCCAAGTCGTGCAGCCTCATGATTCAGAACAAAGCCTGTGAATTAACACAGAGTGAAGGTTTGAATCAAACGTCATGTCACAAAACCTTTCTTCGCTCAAGGTTGTCACTGCCGAGCCTTGCGGGCCTCAAAGCTCTGCCGCCAAGTCTGAAGGAGCTACGACGCACGACGCACGCGGTACCACTGCATTTCGTGACACAGGCTACTCAGCGGCCACCCCGGTCTTCAGCAAGTTGAAAACTGAACACTGAACAGCGATATAAGTCCATGAGAGAATATTGGAGGTACACAACATGGAGCATCAGTCACCTTTTGCTCTATCATCCCCTCCCCACAAGCATCGCCTCCCACCCTCTTCATCTCCGCCAGTCGGTCGTGGATGCAACAGTTGCTTGTTGCTGATGCGAGGGTTGCGTTACGTACCTTTTGAACCACTTCAGCCCCCTTATCGCCCAACCATTTCACTGCAGTGCAACTTGTTCTCTTGGCCGCTCTCCACAACTGATCAGTCTCACACTGGAGATGTACCCACAATCCAGAAAGCAAGTGCTCGACAGTGCTCGAGCTCATAGAAAGTGAATCCACGGAAACAAAAGAGGAACATACAGGAACCAGGTTTTGAATATTTTTGGGGTGTCTAAATGAGTCTAATGTTTTTACCTCAATGGGCGGCTTCTTGGCGCCTTCAGCTGCTGCTCAAGATACCCAGCAGCGGCCTGCGCGACACGTGAGCAAATCACTTGAGTCACTTGAGATTCTTGTGACTGCGCGCGCTGATTTTGGAAGCCAACATCCCCAATCAACCTTCTTCGACCGTCTGAGACTGAAGATTTCAATTATGCGTAGACCTCGCTTCTTGAAAGTTAATAGCCATAATTAGTAGCAGTTTGTTTGTTGTCATAGTCTACAAGTATATACATGCTGTTAGGAAAGCATTTGATAATACAAACTCTTGAAACAGCCTCGCCCTGCATGGCTCATGTGGCGACGAAGGCCATATTACAGTAGAAACATGCAGCCCGTTTAGGTCGCTTTCATCCTTAAAACTGGAAAGTATAGCAAAAAAACTTAAGATCATTCTCTTCGACCAACTTTACATTTAATCTTGCAGGCAAATCATTCTATTGTGTGTGGACTAGCTAGGGCAAATCCATTCAATAACTGTTGTAAAATAAATGTAAAATAAATTGAAACTAATTAACCACAGCATATAAAAGCATCTTCTGGCAGCCACGACAAATGTATTGCAAATGGCACACAAAAATCACACTAACATACCAGAAAACAGTGAACATCAGCACAGTGAAGTGGTTTCTGCCAATACAGAAAATACACACACACACACTCATTGCACATCTACATAATCCAGATTAATCCAGAATCAAGGCGGCAAAACTTTCTCTGCACTCTGGCGACTGTCTCCACTCTGGCTCAGATCAGCTTGGCCCAACCTGATCCGCATGCTCCAGCCAAGTCACATAGATCACATAGAATCATAGAATCACTCTCCAAAGTCAAGTTCATAGCTCAAAGTTGCAAAACGGCGGTAAGTT